GCTCCAGACACAGACAATCCATTAAAATGTCTAAACTTTGATGTGGTGACATTACCGTTTATGTCCATAATTACATTTGTCTAAAGCAAATACTGCTGGGTAAATTTTGAATAGCTGCTTCCAAACAGCACAGCCTCAGCTAACAGGAAGCCATTAGACTCTCTCCAATAACCATTTGCATCCAGTCACCCAGCTATGACTTTATTTCCATCCACATAAGTGCATTTTCTGTGAGGTTAAAATATGAATCCCCTCCTTTTTCTCCTCAATGGGTCTGGCTGTCTGGCTGACTTGAGAGGGCACAATCTATGACTGATTTAATTTGGTCTTTACGAACATCTCTAACAACATTACCCCCGGAGCATACACTGACTGTCCCCATCTGACTCCATTAACTCTCAAATCAGGTTTAAAGACCATATTGATGCTGTCCGTTATTAAGGGTGATTATCAAAACAACAGACAATGGGCCAAAGTGTCTGTTAACTAGTTTATCTGTAATTCACATAACCGTAACAGATGGTTGGGCTGTCAATTAGGTCCACACAACAGCTACACACTCTTTGGATGAGCAGCATACGGCTTTTTTATATTAAAAGAACAAAGGTCTGCTCGCGGGGAGTCAGGACAAATAAATCGGCACCCAAATTAAAACTGATTATAAATACGGAAATGCGTCAGTTTGACAAAAACTGTGACCTCAGCTGAGCTTTTCTTAATGTCAAGTCGTGTATTTTTCTTGTGTAATTTCCAAAAAAACCTAAGTCAGCTCAAAAGAAAAGAAAAAAACAAAAAACAAAAACAAAAACAAAGCAAACCTAATGGCGCTGCTCAGTCCACTTCACCACCTTTATTCACCTCAATTAACGAGAATGGCTATTGAAGCTGTAATTAAGTGCCTCTGCTCCACTCGGCCCTCTTCATTATTCATGAATCACTATTGATCATATCTAAGAGCTGCTACTGAGGGGATCACTGTAATATCCGGAACCTAAAAAGAACAAAAAACAAATAACGAGCTGGAGGAGATAAAATTAAGATCATGGCCACTRACCAAGAATAAAAAACCCTGTTAGATAAAACCTCAATTTTAAGTCATATTTGATAAAAGAAGAGAATTACTAATTAAAAATCATAAATAAAGCTTATAGATTTTAACAAAAAATAATATATAAAAGCTGTGCAATAATTGTATGACTGATTTAGTCTTTTTATTGCATTTTTTTCTAATTTATTTTACTACAAATACAAATTTCTGACACTTTCTCCAAATAATAATGGTATTTAATTTGCATGTTTATGCATCTAAGTAGCTAAATTTATTTWAAAAAAAACTTAGGTTTTTCGAAAGTCTATTTTAACAAATCAACATTTTTGTTCAATAAAACATGTTTCAAACTGAGTTTCGGTCAAAGCTGGTTCAGGACATAAAACTAATAAAATCTTATGGGAAAAGTTCATTTTTAAACAAATTACTTAAAGACCTGATTAAAAAAATATTTACTTCTGATTTGAAAAAAATGTTTTAACTAAACCTCGATATTGCATTTGTGTTCGGTATGATATAAAACTATTTCATGTCATTTTCTTTCATCACAAGTAACATTTTTCCTCTGTGTCCTGACAACCCTGCTCATTCCCTATACAATAAATGTACCTTCTAATGAATACTGATGTGTCAGAACTTAATTTTAAACATGTATTCAAATTTACGCAAATTTGCCAGAGTTAAGTAGAAATGTGCAAAACCTAAACCCTATAATGGCCGATGTTTAACTAAATTAACAAAAGAGGGCTTGAAGAGTCCTTCAAAATGATTGGTTTTGTAACTGGATGATAAATTTGGAGGAAACATTGAGTCATCTTCAACTCAACAAAAGCAGAATCTCTTCACAGGACTCTTTACTGAAGCTTGATGCTTGAGTAAAAATACAAAACAAAAAATAAATAAATAAAAAATATTATATTCCCAAGTTTAATCACACGCTTTAACAAGGCAGCTTTTACCGCGGCCTTACGCTGTGCGAGTGCTGATGTCTTCACTAGTTCATTACAGACACTTGTGGTGCTGCAGCACCCCTCTCTTGCGTAATTACATGGGCAGTTTTCCTTAGCAGCTTCCTACACACGCTCTTGTGCAAATTATTTCCAACGCCAGTTTCCTTTCAAGAGCCATCCTGCAATTACACAGATTTGAACACTTTGGTACTTTGCATCCACACACTTTTCTTTTATGTTGTAAAACACAGTCCATACTGTAGGTCTTACTTTACATGGAATCAATCAGAAAACTTTCCAGTGAAAGTTTAGAGGAGTAAACATTATTTCCATCAGGTTTAGTCGGGCACTTGATGAGCTCAAAGAATGGTGGACTTTATGGGATGATCTCAAATTAGCAATRGAAATTCCAGTTCTGTGCATATTCTTTCTGGCTTCAAGCATGTAAGCTAAGAGACTGTGCAATTCTTTGTTATAGCGTTCATAAAATATAGCTTTATTTGCTGGGTATTATAAAGAATTACTTATAAATAATAATAAACCTATGTGATCCCCCCACCCCACATAAAACAGTCCAAAAAGCCACAGTGGCTGCTGATATGATCTATTTAGGCGGCGGCATTTGCAGGCTTTGTAAATGACCTGCTCCCGGCCCTTTGTGCGCCTTCATTCATTATCGCCACAAAGCAGTTGATGTTCCCGCCTCCTTTGCTTTTTTCTGTGCTAAGCATGACGGGSACGAGGCTGTCCATTACAAGCCTGCGACACGTGCGGCTGGGGAAACGGCCAAACKGAGAGGAATGTCAGCAGGATGGAGTTTAATTAACAAGCTCCGATTGTGTGGAATCTGTCGCCTGTCGGGGAGACGACACGTAGCTCCGGCAACCCAGATCCCTTTCTACGTTGGCTGAGATGTTGATTTTTCTTGCTTTGGTGGCTTTATTAAATCAGCTGACACGGCTGTCTTATCAAGTCACATTAGAAGAACCTAAAATTCTGTCAAATTTAAGGATAACTATGTGAATAAACTGGAATTCATAAAATAGTCCAAATCAGAATTGACATGAAGATGGACAACTGAAGTAAACTGCAGTTTAAATTATGACATGAATAGACCTTCACCTCTTACTCTGACTCCTTAAGGCACACACACACACACACACACACACACACACACACACACAC